GAGTCAGAGTATTGAACCACTATATGGTTCTAAAATAGAAAAATAGCTTAATGTGGGCCCACCACACTCACTCACTTATACACACACACACACCGTAGCAGGCCTGAAACGTCGCTGGTGTGCGTTGAGGCCAAGTGAAACCTAAAATGGCCGCTTCGCTCTCGAAGAGCACAAATAAAACAAATAAAATGCACCTGAATGAACTTGCAAGAGTTCCAGGATCAGATCCTGGAACTCTTGCAAATCAGATCAGTCCACGTGAGGCGGTGATCGGTCGGCAAACTCTGTGACACTCCCGTGATGCCAGAGGAACCCCTAACCACTCGGCGATTAGGAGCGCTATCTGGATTTCCTCAATGCACTTCACAGTCGATGCAACAACAGTCTGTGCCAATCACTCTGATCACCTCTAGCTCTCTTACAGTCGCTGATTTAAATGATAAACTTGATTTAAGTTTCTCACCAGCGATTCACGTTAGTCCCGTTTACTGTAATGGCGATCAAGCATAAAACCCGCATTTCTTCCGCATCGCGTCGCGTTGACTTCTTTGTGGCGTCGTATTGACTTCACAATAGAATAATATGCTAGTTAACACTTAAACGATACAGTTCTGACTATGTTTATCACAAAATAAAGTGATGCATTTTCTGTTATCATACCGACAACATCACCTACGAACTTCTTTTTTCACCTCCTCTCTCACTCCCCCGACTGACATTTTCCGTGGCCAATCACAGTTGCCCTACTTGACATTAGGCGGGATTAAGTCACTTTTCAACCAATAACATTAAATCAAACACAACTTCTTGACACAGACATTTCTGAACAGGTACAATTTTTTATATAAAAAATATAGAAACACTTTTGTCACGAGGGAAAAAATAAGTAAATAAATAAATGTAAATAAATGCTTATATTAATAATAAATTAACCCAGGATTACATAAGGACTGTGGTTAACACAAGCTCAAGATATTATGTTTTATTCTACAACATAAAATACATTAGGAAAAACAACTTGTGATTTTTTTAAAGCTTTTACCTGTCTTCAAAAAGACGGTTGCTCACAAGTGGCTAAATGGGTTTAAACAAGGCCTAAACTCAACATAGCTGCTAACTGTTTCTCAACAAATGCTCACATTTATGAAAATCCAGCATTTCCAGTTATTCTATATTTCTGCAGTACTTCACACACAACATAACTGAAACAATATTACTTTGTATGGATATTATCTATTGATGCTGCTCTTCAAAACACTGCTGTTGATCAGCCACCATGAATTCTTAGCAGTTTGACACTGCATCAGATTGGAATCCAACAACAACTTGTCTCTGTGAATTAGGATGTTACTCAATACTATGTGTAACATGACTAAATTCTTGCAAATTATCAACCACATCCTTCCTAAAAATAAGCTGAAACAACGTAGTGCTCGTGAAACTTCGTGAGATTTTCATCACACCAAAGAACATGTTTTATACAAAGTTGCATCTGTAACAAATGCCCACAGCAGGGTGTTGTCCCCTGGGCTTATCTCAGTCAGACACCATGGAGTCGTGCTCTGGATGGATCTTCAGTTGGTAGCCTATGGCTTTTCCATCTGCTCTGATTTTCAGATAGTACCTTTTCTAATGTGACACCACTTGTAGAGTTGCACCACAGCCGTTCACAAGTTCTTACTTAAATGGAACATATAGTCCACACTAAAGGCTTAGTAACTACTAGTTAGTGTCAGTAGTGTGTAACTAACTGTACTTTATTTGGTTTCACAATTTGTACTTGAGGCAGAATCTACACTATAAACATAAAGGTTCCAAAAGGGATGCCATAGAAGTACCAAGAATAAAGACATTTTGGTCATACTTTATTTCAAGGTCCAATTCTTGCCATTAACAAACCATTAATTACAATTTTTTAAACAATAAATTCTAGTTTGCTGCATATTATTAGTAAGGTAGTTTTTAAGTTTAGGTATTGGGTAGGATTAAGGGATGTAGAATATTGTAATCTTTTGAAGTCCTGTCACTAGCCTTTTAATGCCAAGGATACATCTCAGAAATAATTGCCCTGATTTATTCTGTTGTAAACTTGTTATCATGTCCACTAATTAACTTACTCCCTAATGGCAATGCATTCCAGGGGGAGAAAGTAAACCATGTGATGCGCTCAGCTTCCTGTGTCCTGGAGCAGGCGTATCAAATGTCATTTCCATATGGTTTAATACTCATGCTGTGCAAACGCACTCCATCAACACATGCACATCTGCTTGTGCCAAAATGAAAAGGGAAACCACATAGATGTGTATTTTTGGCACAACGCTATGAACAGCACTTCATTGCGAATATATCACGACACCTCCAGTTGGTAAGTGATATGTGGCTACAGTGGAGTAAAGCGGGACAGTGAATGGAGATGCTTATACGACTAAGCACACAAACTCACTCATTTCTCTGGAGCTGTAGAATCAGATCTTCTCCCGCAGTAATTTTGACCTCTGCCTCAGATGGATGCTGGGAAGGTAAATCAATCAGGTTAGAATAGAATTACCCAATAAATTCCATTATGCAAAAATGGTGGTAGATAGGCTACATGATAATGTAAAAAAAAAAAAGTGGGGTCCAAAAACATGAGAGCATACTGAGAGAAGAAGAATATACTGTGTGTATATATAAAAACTAAATTGAGCAAATTTAAACTAAATATATGCTAAAAACAGAAATATTCTAAGGTTCTTAAGAATATTCTAATATTAATAATTCTAAGTCACTTATCACATTTATTTAATAATTTACTTATATAACTTTGTTAAACTGATTAGTTGAATTTTGGTTTACTAAAGGTCAAATGTTTTTTTCTTCTTCTATAAACACAAGATGATTTTTCGATTATTTTAAATCATTCTGGATAACATACACAAATGAGTTCATTACAATATACCAAGACTTTTGAAAACATTTTTAGTTCAACTTTTCACTGAAATTATTATTCTGAAATATAATGTATTGAATTAGATAATTTTAAAGTTTGATTCACAAGCCATCTTACGACAAATGAAGCCTGCAAATGTGTAGTTTGACAATATAAAGCACAATGAACCTCTGATGCACTATACTAGAATGATTCTCATTCTCAAAACAACAATACTTAGAGTCAGCATTACCTTAGAGCCCTCATGAGATCTTTTGTATCTGGCTGGGCTGATCCACTTTGGATAAGTGATAAAGTGCTCCGGGTTGTCATGGATGCGAGACGAGTCTCTATGACAACGTTTATCTAATAGTGCAAAAAATTAATCACGTTACCAATAAATAATCAATCTGACCAAATTTGTAGCCAGAGTTCCAGCGCTCAACATCTTCTACTCCACGAAGACTTACACGAAACACAACAATGAGCACCCGGTATTATTGCACAATAACTACATATAATAACACTCACCCGTATTTATGTCCTCGCCATGTGCAGCGCATCTTAAAGAGAGATGTAAACAACAACAACATAACAATAAAAATAATCGGAACTGCACTGCGCCCGCGACCATGCAGCGATTCAAATGCACGCCCTGAAGCATCATAACATGTAAAAATTAAAAAAAAATGCACGAAATAAACGAGCCGTGCACGATGAATTATCATCGATTATGAACAGCATTCATAATGAACAGCCAGCACCGATGTGTGTCTGTAGAGACCAAACAGAGGCAGTGAGAGAGCGCATCTTTAACCACCTCCCCCTAGCCTGCCTCCAACCATTCATAAAAAACATCTATCTGTCCTGAACTAGTAGACGTCCTCAGTCTTCAATGGCATGTACAGTTGTTACTGTCACAACATGCTGTTATACAGTACTGTTATAATTTAAGCACAAAATGAGGTCAGGGATACCCAATATAACCTTATATGAAATAAAATACTCCTCGACACCAAAATAAACTAGCAGAGTGAAGTGTAAATCATTCAAACTAAAAGAAACCGAGATTTCCATCAGCAGCCTGCATACTGAGTGAGCTATAATAGCCTACTGACCTTTGCTTAAATATTAGTGGTAAAAATATCAAGTTCATGCTTGGTCTTGAAAGGCACTTACAGTTGTTACAGTGACGGTGTACATTCGCTGTTATAATTTAAGCACGAAACGAGGTCAGGGATACTATTACACACTACACACAACATTGTGTGTAATAATATACACCTTGGCTTCAAACCAGCTAGCATAGAGAGTAGTGTAGAGGGGAGATGTTGGTGCTTGCGGTGATTCATTCAAACTAGAAGTATAGATAAGGGGAGAGAGAGATTTCGTGATCAGACTACATGCTGTGTGAGCAATAATTCTGTGACTTCATCTAATTGCGTCCAACATCAAAGTACAGGAGGGACCAGACCAGCACACACCAGATCTGTCAAAGCTTTGATATTACATTTTTAAAGCAAAAATGTGGGTTATATTGGGGGCCAGTTTTATATATATACAGGGCTCCAGACTAACATTTGAGAGCAGTGGCACCAGCGCCACTAAATTCTACAGATGGTGGCGCCAGGAGCAGATTTGGTAGCGCTGGGGGTGGTATTAAAATATAGATAATTTAATCATAAAATTAATATTGTTTTGCAGGTGCAGTTACTAATAATAGTTCATGTTCATTTCTTGTTTTTCTTTTGTTATTATTTATACAGATTTGATAGTAAAGCACGTAGCTTGAGTTAAGATGCATACAAAATTTACTTGTATCAACAGTAACAGGTGCAAAATCTAATTATTATATAGACATTTTATATATTCCACTCTTATTAAATGTACCATTATTCTTCTAGTATATGGAACTGACCAACTTCAGTGATTCATGTGTGATTTAAGTAGCAAGTTGAAGAAAAGTTTGCTTTTCAAGGTACTTTGTGACTTTTCTTAAAAAGTGTAAAATTATGACAAAATCAGATTTCTTGATCATTTGAAGATGCTGTCTACTGGTTATAATTGTGATTTAATGTATTTTTTTTATTTTACGTAAGTGTTTGTTTACCACAAAGTATATTTTGGTCATCCCATTAAAAATAACATTCAAACTGGATTATTTTAGAGCTTTAAAGTGCTGGAAATAGTTGTGTGAAATGCTTGAAAGCCATTGAAAAGTGCTTGAATTTCTCTCTCAAAAGGTTGTAGAAACCCTGAAATGAATGATGTAATGCATTCGACTCTTTCTACCACAACACCATGGTTACAGTTAGTGTTACCGCTTCTGGTTTCCTGACGTATGCCAGCGCTGTTTAAAACGGAGAATTCTGTGCAGAATTTGAATGCTTCTCACTGGATCTCGCAGCACTGTTGCATCTGTGCAGTAACAGTGTCGCGAAATCAACTTTGGCTCCCGAGTAAAACTGGGACAAGTTTGTTTGCGTCGCGGTGTGAGCTGATAAGCGGTCCACGCTGTGCAGCTGAAATGTAGCACGGTTTAATTTCGCGTTCATTTCGTTTGGCGTTTGATGTTTCTCAAATGCAACAGAAATGGCAGCGCTTATGAGTTGAACAACGCGGTGGTCGCGCCAGTGCGACCGCTCACAAAAATTAGTCACACCGGCAGAAAAAATGGTCGCAGTCTGGAGCCCTGCTATAGTTTTTTTTGGGGGGGGTAATCAACATTATACCACAAATGCTGTGGATTGAGCTCAACTTGAACAGCTCTTTAAACAATGCACAATTGTATGTGCTTTTATGGAATTATAAGATTCACATTTATTTTAAATCATCCAAAAATTGGCCATTGGACATTTACTTCTATCATAAAGGCCTCACCAAAACTTTATTATTATTGGATAAATTTTTGCTTCTTTTTTAAGAAAAAGGGGAACAAATCTAAATAATTTTTGTTGTAATCAACATTATGCCACAAATGTTGTGGACCAAGTTTAACCCGAAATATTTCTTAAAGTAATTATTTAATTCTTATTTCATTACATGTGCCCCATTGTACAGGATATGTAATGACACTGAAATTTGGCTGGAGAAAAACTGACTTTTTAAAGTCATCACCACACAGAGAGGAGACAGTAGGGGGTGAGGGGAATAACAAACTATAAGACACAGAAAGTTTTTTTTTTTATTATTAAATACCAAAGGGAAAAATGAACTTGCATTTGGTCTGGTAGTCTTTTAACCATGTGATCAACACTGGTCACTTTCCAGAATGTCTGGATGTTCTTCCCAGAACTGATCTCCAATGATATCACAGGAATGACTTGTGACCTTCTTTCTTGTCCGTGTTACATTTATTTCTGTCTCTCCTTCATCTGGCCGCTTGATCAGTTTAGTTGTGGTTTCATTCACCTAAAGAAAAGAATTTGAGAATTTAAGATAATAGATAGTTAAGATAATAGATAGTTTAAAGAACAAATTTTTTTGCAACTGCAGCTTACCTTTTCCCATATTAAAGTCATGCCTTTTTTGTGCAGTGGGGATTCATTACTGTAATTGATATTGAACTCCGAAAACAAGATCTCATTCTTATCTGCTGCTTGTGTTCCCTGTATATGGGAAAAATTATGCAACTTTTTAGTTTCTTTATTACACACTAGTTATGTAATATGAACAGACAAAATAACTGTACTGGAATTAGGTAGTTTTAATTAAACTTATATGGAAAAATTAAATCTAATAAGGCACAATTAAACATTTATGTATTATATTGGTAATTAAGTACTGATTATGTTTCTGGTTAAATCTGTTTATTGGATAATATTTCTAAAAGACAGACAAAACCTAGTCAGCTTTTATATACTGCCATGTTCATATTACATTAGTGACAAGCATTCTCAATCCAAATCTATATGATAACTGGTCTAGAAAAGAAAACAATTAACAAATAATACTTTAATTGATCATACACTGAGTCTCTCCTCAGCTTGTGTTGTGGTCAGTCCACCTTTCTGCACCAGCGTCCAAAACGTAGTGTTGTACAAATTGTTAATGTGACCTGAATAGAAATAACAAATGTGAAATGTAAAAAATGTGAGATTCTGAAACAATTCTAAATCCACTGTTAAATATTTAAATAGTCTCTATAGCTAGACGTTCATTTCTAAGACCCCTAAAAATAATGGATGTTATTTTACATTTATATTTTAATGCACTATCAAAATACAATATATTTATGTTATTGACATATAGAACGTGTACATTAATGCTCCATTACAAGCAAACATTTTAATATTACCATATTAACAATCAAAGGCTTGTCATTAAATAAAGTACAATCACAGGAAAAATCAAAAGTCAAAAATGATTCCACTTCATTCTATTATACTGTTTTAAACACGTTACAGTCAAACACAGAAAACAAGATCTCATTCTTATCTGCTGCTTGTGTTCCCTGTATATGGGAAAAATTATGCAACTTTTTAGTTTCTTTATTACACACTAGTTATGTAATATGAACAGACAAAATAACTGTACTGGAATTAGGTAGTTTTAATTAAACTTATATGGAAAAATTAAATCTAATAAGGCACAATTAAACATTTATGTATTATATTGGTAATTAAGTACTGATTATGTTTCTGGTTAAATCTGTTTATTGGATAATATTTCTAAAAGACAGACAAAACCTAGTCAGCTTTTATATACTGCCATGTTCATATTACATTAGTGACAAGCATTCTCAATCCAAATCTATATGATAACTGGTCTAGAAAAGAAAACAATTAACAAATAATACTTTAATTGATCATACACTGAGTCTCTCCTCAGCTTGTGTTGTGGTCAGTCCACCTTTCTGCACCAGCGTCCAAAACGTAGTGTTGTACAAATTGTTAATGTGACCTGAATAGAAATAACAAATGTGAAATGTAAAAAATGTGAGATTCTGAAACAATTCTAAATCCACTGTTAAATATTTAAATAGTCTCTATAGCTAGACGTTCATTTCTAAGACCCCTAAAAATAATGGATGTTATTTTACATTTATATTTTAATGCATTATCAAAATACAATATATTTATGTTATTGACATATAGAACATGTGTACATTAATGCTCCATTACAAGCAAACATTTTAATATTACCATATTAACAATCAAAGGCTTGTCATTAAATAAAGTACAATCACAGGAAAAATCAAAAGTAAAAAATGATTCCACTTCATTCTATTATACTGTTTTAAACACGTTACAGTCAAACACATTTTATCACTAAATCTACTACAAAATACATTCACTTACAATCTGCCTGTCTCCAGCTTAGATAGTCTCTTAGGTTACGATTGCTCGGATACAGAACCACCCTGCCATCAAAGCTGGGAGGGTACAGCAGCGGCTGCTCCCCAAAATACTCCTTCCAGTAGTAAACGAAGCTAGAGGAAAACTGGGATGTCACATGGGTCATTAGTTTACTGTAGAGAGAAAGGAAAATATTTAATGGGTGAGTTTCCTAGAAAGCATAACACTGGACAACTATCTTCCAGCTGTGGTGTTTGGCATCAAGATGGTAACTTAAGCAGATTCTGGCAATGTGTCAGCATTGTACCTGGCCCTTCTTTTGAACCAAGTGCTTGATCTTTTGAACACAAAGCTGAACTCATCACTCTGTCCATAGGCTATAGTGATGTCCTCCAGCTCTTCCATGACTGAACGGGCACTGCGACTCATCAAACCCAGAGCTCGGTTATCACTGGGCTTCATGAAGTTATGCTGCTCAGAAAACCTGGAACCAAAAAGATCACTCTGAAAATCACTTCAGTCATCACTCATTTTCTACCCTCCACGAAATTGTACAAACACAAGACTGCAATAGCATGTTGTAACTGCACAGAAGCACTTACTTGTGGAAGTTGCGTCCATCTAGCCGAACCACAATGTAACAGTTTCTCAAACATGTGTCGTCGAGCTCAAAGTTTCTCACGTATTCAAATTTGCTTTTGGCCATGACAGATGATGTACTGAAATTAAGACCTAAGAGTGTCTTGTGCTCTGTAAGCCCTCTAAAGTTGACCGATAACAGTCTTAGCATAAGGATATTAGGAAAAATACGAGTTATTGAATATGTTTAACTTAAAACATGCCGTTAGTTCAGAATATTTGTGAGGCGTAACCCGATAGCTTTAGAATTAAATGTTAATTTTCATGTCTCGGGAAGAGCTTCAACGAGTGTTTATCTTAAAACGAGTTGTGTTTTTAAATATTTAACATTATACTGTTTACAAAATATTATTCTTTAACCGGAAGTATGTGGTGACAAAACTCACATGTGCGTAAGCGGTCATTGTATTGGTACGTCCCTTATAGAGTCCCTCAAAATACAGTTCTGAAAATGTTGTTCCGCCACACAGTTTACGAAACATCAGCCATATTTAAAAGCGTAATGACTTGCATCTGACACAAATCAAACATTTCTGTCAGCAATGTTTTTAATAGAACGAGGTGTTTCATCGGTAATTTTGAAGAGAGTTCAAATATCATGCAAAGAAAAGCAAGACAAAATGAAGCTGGTCGGTCTTACATTTGTTAGGCCAAGTGTTTATTTTATTAGCAAAAAAAATGGTAAAGGTACAAATGGTCTTCCCACAGCTTGTCATCTGTCATCGTGTCACATTTCCATTTTTGTTAGATTTTTTAAAACATATTTTGAAAAATAAGCTGAAACTCCAAAACTTCACTGTCATTGTATTGGTACGTCCCTTATAGAGTCCCTCAAAATACAGTTCTGAAAATGTTGTTCCGCCCCACAGTTTACGAAACATCAGCCATATTTAAAAGCGTAATGACTTGCATCTGACACAAATCAAACATTTCTGTCAGCAATGTTTTTAATAGAACGAGGTGTTTCATCGGTAATTTTGAAGAGAGTTCAAATATCATGCAAAGAAAAGCAAGACAAAGTGAAGCTGGTCGGTCTTACATTTGTTAGGCCAAGTGTTTATTTTATTAGCAAAAAAAAATGGTAAAGGTACAAATGGTCTTCCCACAGCTTGTCATCTGTCATCGTGTCACATTTCCATTTTTGTTAGATTTTTTAAAACATATTTTGAAAAATAAGCTGAAACTCCAAAACTTCACTCCTAAAACATTGCACTCAGAGCAGTTCCTACAGAAATAAAGGAAGACATTTATATTATAGAAAGAAATATGTTAAAGAAAGACAGGACAGTATCATGAAACCAACTGACTTAGTAGAAAATCAAAGCACTATTTACTCAAAGTCACCCAGATATGATAAAACTGACACATTAGCCTACTTGCTTTTAGTACTAATATTTTTCATTTTAACATGTGGTAGGTGGTCACACATCTACTGTTTATAGGTATACTGATCACATCCTCTGGATGAGCATAGCAAACAACACTCTTAAACATAGATATGAAAAGCGAAGTGAGATATCATAAGGTCCTCCACCTCAGCAGCGGCCGTCTCTCACAATCAAAATGTCTGCATTAGTGTGCCTAAAAAACAAACACCCTTTCAGTGATTCAAAATCCCAGCATCCGTACCATAACTCTTACTAGCTAACAACAAAATCCATACAGTAATGCTGTTATCCCACACAAACAGAAGCAAATGAATGGACTCACATTCTCTGCACACACAGGGTGCATTCATTGACGTATGTGATGCCATCATTACCACATACGGGAGAGTAGTTGAGAGGGCATGCTTGATTGACGCTCAAACCTCCACATGCAGGCTGTCAGATTAAAAACACATACACAATTCATAGTTATGCATCATAAATCATCTCCTAATAGGTGTTTGTTCTGAGTTTTAGTGCATAAATGGACTTACCCTGCGGTAGAGTCTTGATTTATCCTCTGCACCTGAAAAAAAAGGTGTACTGTCAGATTAATCTCATTGCAATAATTCTGTAGTAAATTGCAAATGGCACACATCAATGATTAAAATAATAAAATAACAAGAGTGCTCTTTAAAAATTCCAATGGGAGTGACTTACCCACAGAGAGGATGAGGACCAGGCTCATCAGAACCACTGCTGTTCCAGTCATGATATTTAAATGAAGGAACTCTGGATTTTAAAAGGGTAATCTGTATTTGTAAGTTCAGGCAGAGAGCTTTTACTTTGCAACTGATGACTTCCAGCTCGTTTATGAGTGTTGTACTGTTGATGACCGGCAACATATAGTTTGAAAGTGAGGAGGAGGAGGAGAGGTGCTGATATTTTGACGGCTCTCCGCCCCACCTACCCACCGTCAACAACACTGAGAACAGAGCCTCTCTATTGTCTCTCTCTTCATTACGGGATAAACATTCCAGTCTGTCCAAAAATTGCTGAGCACAATCCAAAATGCATTGGTCTGTATAATATCCCTCAAAACAGGTCTGGCTGGGAGGTGTGTCCCTCTTTATTGGCCCCAAAGTGAAATAAATGGAATTCCACTAAACATGGAATGCAGTTAACAATAACTATGTAATGTAATATTTCACTACATAATTTAGATATGTAAATATTGGATTGATAAACACTTTGAACTTAAAAATGTATAAGTGTAGCAAAAGAGAACATCCTCTTGAAAATTTGTAATTCTTATGAAAAGTGCAAAATGGAACTCCCGATTTTAACAATTATATAGTGTTATAGAGGTGGAGTGAAAATATTGAACAAAACAGAGAAATTCTGGCAAATTGAACCAAAAATAAATCAAGTAATTAAAGCGACAAATAAAAGTTTAAAGGTACTATATTCTACTTGATTTTTTAACTACAACCCCCCCCCCACACAGGCTATCTTTAAATAATTGAAATAATAAATTGTAGAAATAATTAATTGACGAAAGAAATGCATACATGTTTGGAATGGTGAGTAAATTATGACAGAATTGTTGTTTTTGGTGGACAGTCCCTTTAATAACTTAAATGAACAGTAATAACTTTAAAAAAATCACAAAGTCATCGTATTGATACTTTTATGGATTTTTAATGTGTGTTTTGGAGTTTTACAGCTGTAAATTCAACATTTCTTTGTGTGTGTGTGTGTGTGTGTGTGTGTGTGTGTTTTGCAAAAAATAAAAGAAATAATTAATTGACGAAAGAAATGCATACATGTTTGGAATGGTGAGTAAATTATGACAGAATTGTTGTTTTTGGTGGACAGTCCCTTTAATAACTTAAATGAACAGTAATAACTTAAAAAAAATCACAAAGTCATCGTATTGATACTTTTATGGATTTTTAATGTGTGTTTTGGAGTTTTACAGCTGTAAATTCAACATTTCTTTGTGTGTGTGTGTGTGTGTGTTCTGCAAAAAATAAAAAAATCTGCATATTGTGAGGGTGAATAAATATACACACAAAAATAAACAGAAGAGACTACTTAAAAAAAACAAACATTTCTAGCATTTTTAGGGCAAACTGTTTCCTTAATGTGCAAAGGATTCGTATTTGTTTATGTCATACATCTAGGTTGACAACCTGTATCTAATCCTTATAGCTGTGCAATGTTTTTTTAAATAAATGTAATACGTTAAAGGCTGATAATAATAATAATAATAATAATACATTAAAAAACAGCCCACTTAAAAATGTACACATTGCACAAGATCTGATTGTTTTACGCAGCGAATTGGAACAGTACTTATCGGCTTCCGTACTGAGAGTGAACTTCGTTCAGTACTGCACGTCTCATCTGGCTTGTCTATATTCACGCTGCAGCTACAGTTCAGATCCAAACTGATCAAATGATACAATTACGCGCTATTTGCCGGAACGCGTCACGTCACGCAGAACACCGTCTGTCTGTCAAAAGCCGACCTACGGTGAGTTTAATCATAGTTTTACACATTGGGAAAGAGCTCACGTTCAACAGTTTAAGTTTTCTTTACAGAACAGTTGGATGACACTGAACCCGTGTGACTTTTGAATGGCACTGAATTAAAAGACAAACGCTAGTTTTTTGGAGGTGTGTCAGAGGACGCCCCAACATTGTAAGTCATATGATCATGTAACTCCATTGTTACATTGTTTGTTAGGACCTTGGCAGTGTCAGGAGTTACAAAAGTATGAAATCATTGCAGAAGTGTTTAATAGACACAATGTGTTTCATTAATGTTGGAGGCCCATATTTTTCATGCATATATTAATTATATAGTGAGGTCCAAATGTTTGAGACTACTGGTAAAAATGCTTATAATTTACATTCTACTGCAAAAATGAATAACAAATTATATTATGAGCATTACAGTTTCTGTGAAAAGTTTAAATGTCTTAATATGACTCTTTATGACAGCAGCAGTTGAGCTGCATAAACTCCAACCATTTATAAAAACCTGATGACCGTGTTCAGCGGCATGATTTGAGAAAGATCCAAAGAGCATCTTGTGAAAATCAAGAAAATCTGACCTTTTGTGCATAGGAGTTCACAAGGCTTTGCTTATTTGATTAGTGACTTAAATAGTGCAAAAACGTAATGCCTTTCTTCTTACATTTCCATCTTTAAAGGTCCAAAAGAAAATGAGTTCCCAATGCGGTCTGAGACTTTTTGACCTTTCTATAGTTATACACAGTGTGTCTAGCTGTACAGGATTTGGGACATCATTTCCAGACCTTTGTACTTCAGTGGGAATTGGCTGGTCTAAGCCTGTAGTAGAATGTAAACATTTGAACAGTTTATCTTAAACATCACATGTTAGTTTCAAGGTTTTTAAAATCCACTCAATGCTTAGGATGGGGGCTGTGCCTTAAAAAAATCTTAGGAAATTGAAAGAAACAGAAGCAGAAGTCTGGAGCTGCCATTTCTTTGAGTCAGTTTTATGTGATCTCATGGTTCATATAGATTCAGACAAGTGTAGTTGAACAGTTCTAATAATGACCACATGGTGACACTAGCAGTTTGTTTTCCATTTCCCAAGCAGCCCAGGGCATGGATCTCCACCGGACCTCAGCAGCAGCATGGAACCTTCTATGAGTTCCGCACCTATTACATCCAGCCGCATCTCAACGCTGCCTTCCTCAAACTGACCACTGAGAAGATCCACCTGCGGACAGCCCACTCAGAGCTCATTGGATACTGGAGTGTGGAATATGGAGGTCTCAATCAGGTTTTCCACATCTGGAAGTATGGTGAGAATGACTGAAACGTCTAATCTATGCTTTTAAAACTGTCTAGGATTCATCAATACGTAAAATGCAACAAAACATCTACATTTCTGACCTAGGGAGCCTGACTCTTTAATTCTAGGGGTTGGCAGGTCCCACATTAGCTGAGGCGTCCTGCTTCATTACCACTTATTTAAAACACTTGTGTTGTGCTGGCAATTTTTTACCTGGTCAAAAATGACTGGCCTTTTAAAAACTCAATGTAAATTCCACATCTGGAAGTATGGTGAGAATGACTGAAACGTCTAATCTATGCTTTTAAAACTGTCTAGGATTCATCAATACGTAAAATGCAACAAAACATCTACATTTCTGACCTAGGGAGCCTGACTCTTTAATTCTAGGGGTTGGCAGGTGTCCCACATTAGCTGAGGCGTCCTGCTTCATTACCACTTATTTAAAACACTTGTGTTGTGCTGGCAATTTTTTACCTGGTCAAAAACGACTGGCCTTTTAAAAACTCAATGTAAATCCCTTATTATGCTATATTATTATCACCAAATCTTGGATTCAATTTTTAGTCAACTTGCTTTCTCATAGGTCTCATTGATCTGAGCTTATGCACCCCAGTTTTTGAGTGAAAAATGCCAAAATGAACCACAATGCTTTTTTTCACTCAGAAACTGAGCTCAGATCAATAAGGCCTACAATTGATCATTTCCAGGAAGTAAAACAAAATATGTACTAATTGAAAGAAAACTATTTGATTAAAAATGTACAAGCATTTTTTTTGTAGTCTGGACTTTTTGACTGGGAACACCACAAGTGTTCAAGATGAAAAAAAAATAAAAATAATAAAAAGAAAAAGTTTTAAGTTTTAGTCTAGTGTGATAACATTACCTAGCATTTTCAGGAAAAAATAAAATCCTCTCCAGGTCAAAATGACCGTAACACAAATGAGGGATAACCATTTTAAACATTCTTACAGTTAATGCAGTAAACAAGTAATCTTACTAAGATAATATGTATTTTATTTAAAATGTCTAAAAGCACAATGCAGCTCACATGCTACTCCATAAGAAACACTTCTTTCTGTCTTTGCTTTAATGGTGTTTAGATAGCTATGCTCAGCGGGCATCAGTGCGGGCAGCCCTGGCTCAAGACCCCAACTGGATTGAGCAGTACATCTCTAAAGCGATGCCCATGCTGAGCTCTCAGGATAATGAGGTGACGTACCTCGTACCGTGGAGCAAAGTTCAGAAGCCACCCAAAGATGGAGGTGAGAACTGTGCATTAACATTCATGCATTGATTTTCAAAGGGGCACCAATGCATGCTCACATGGTACTATAGGTGATATAAACATAAGCAAAACAAATGTAACAACTTATTGATTGATCATAATGACTGTCATTATAATTGTGCATAAGTTCATAAATTGTGAACAAAACTAAAGTTAGACAGATTTCAAATGCTCTAGGCAAACTGATCTAATTGGCTTTTTTTGAAAAATGTTGTTTATTTGTAGGGGTTTTCGAGCTGGCCACCTTCCAGATGAAGTCAGGCGGTCCTGCGGTGTGGGGCAAGACGTTTCAGGCAGCAGTGGGCACCCACACAGGGTCAGGATACGCCCACGCAGTTGGGGTTTTTCACTCTGAATTTGGACTGCTCAATCAAGGTGAGTGTAGACAAGAATATATGCAAAATCATATTTTTCATAGTTACAAACTGTAATTTAAATATACACTAGTGTCCAAAAGTTTGGGGTCAGTAGGGTTT